GCGAGGGAGGGAGAGCGGGCGACGCCCGGCGAACTTACACTTGGTATGTTATCGTTGGTACAGACCCCCTCGGACAGTAATCTGTCTCGGATTTCCCAAGCAAAGATGGACGGGCACTCCCGCTTATACTGGGCTATTTTGCTTACAACTTCCGGAGTGGCTACTCGGGGCTTACTCCCACCGATCGCCCTGGGTCTGATGGAGCCAGTCTCGTAATACCTGCCCAGAATCTTACTCACACAGCCGTTGGACACCTGCATAGGGGAAGTGGACAGAAAACCACATTATTAATAATCTCAAGACAAAAATAAAATTGTGTAAGTATGCATTAAACAATGACAAGCTTACGTTTTGATTGTCCAGCACTTGGACTTTTGCATCTGCTTGGGTCTATAACACAAAAATATACCTTCAATGGTATGAGAACTTACTGCAGAGCGCTTTTCTTTTCTTAAGGTTACATTTGGAGCCCTAACATCTACAAATAGGATGATACTTTCAAACCATGTGAACTACAAAAAATGAATTTAAAAGTTCTTGTTTTGTTTTTTTTTAAAAAAAACTTTTCTTAGACACTGCCTGGAGATGCATCAAAACGAAGTCAGATTCTTTTTTTTTTTTTTTTTTTTTTTTGGTGCTGACCTTGGTCAACGTGGTGTGTTCTGTGCTCAAGAGCAAAGGGAGGAAAATGAAGTGGATTTTTACTTCTTTTTCCTTAAAAAAAAAAAAGTCCAAACGAGTCCACGTGACTTAGGCAAGGTAAACGGCATTTGCCTTCGAGAGTCACTATAGGTCCCTCCTCAAGGGAAGAAAGTCCGCAAATCTCCGGAAGGAGCCCTAGGTGAGCGAGAGGGGGAGCGGCGGAATGCTACGGTTTGCGTGGTCCAGCTCCTCACAGCTCACAAACTGTTCCCGCAGTCAGAGGCTTTGCCCCATGAGAAGAGAAAGGGCGGCTTATTTTGTTTGCTTGGTTTTTTAAAATTTGCGCACAATGTTTCTCTGAAGCAGATGAGTTGTCTCATGTAACTGACCCAGGTTGAGAGAGACAGGGAGGATGGCGGAAGGAGAGCGGACAGCGGGAAGGCAGGGCGCGGGTGGGGACGGGGCTGGGGACGGCGGGGGAGGGTGGGGTCCGTCCTCAGCAGCGTTCATAGTAAGAAATGGAGAGAGGGCCTGGAGAGTGGAGGGCCGCGGGGGCGGCGGGGGCGGCGCCGGGAGCATCACCTGCAGAATTCGGGAAATGTCGCACGGCCGGGCCCCGCTGTGCGCGAGCTCCACAATCTTCTGCCGGGTGGAGTCCGGCAGTGGCCGCCCGTTGACAAAGACACCACCAAGCTGATTCACTCCGCTGTGACCTGAGGAGAGGGAGAAGGCGGAGAGGAGAGGAGGGCAGGGGGTGGGGGCAGGGCGAGGAGAGGAGGGCGAAGGCGAAGAGGAAGAGGAGGAGGA